CTCCATCGATAATGAATTGAGTTTATCCAGATTTGATATGTTTTCCGATAATTCCTAATTTAATAAATAAAAAATTTAAACTTTATTGTAAATAAACTGAAGTCCAAAATTTTAAATTTCATTTAAGCTAAATAAATAAAGAAAGAAATCGAAGAATTTAGATTAATTAAAGTTAACAATATTTAAAGTTTAAACTCCATCGAATTAATTATCATTAATTAATATAGTAATCTGTAAACGGAAGTTATACTGCACATATAATATTTCCAAAATTATTCCCTAAAAATGCTAGTAAATTACTAAGATTACAAAATAGAGACCATTCTTATTAAATTAGCGTTTTTTACAAGTAAAAAAAATCAAGTAAAGGCAATTGGAAAATGAAATTAATCCTTTAAAATTCAAAAGTCATGATGATAAAATGTGATTAGAGTTATAATAATCAATAGAAAAGATCTTTTTTTGCATAAGAATCTATGCGAAGTTTAGGCTTATATTGCAAGAATAAGCAATCTTTAACAGGTGAAAACAAAACTATAGATTGCTTCCATTCACACGTAAGCACGGTATTAACAATTATACGTTACCAAAAAAAAAAGAATGAGAAAAAAATACATCCGTCCTAACAAAAACGAATCCATGATAAAACAAATTTTTCTTTGTCTTGAATTACCGCGCTTGCGTGATGTCACTGTCCGTCTTTGTTGACAGAATGATCATTAAGTGAGAGACAGTTTGTCTCAGAGTCACATAATGGATGTGTACATGCGTTTAATCTGCCTGGCATAGTTGTGCTTGCTCTATACTTATCTAACAGACGGGGCCTATGTAAATATTGGGCCTTATTTACGCTTTGCTTAACAATTCCTTCAGGGTGTTATGAATTTTTCATGCGATCTCCAGCGTAGCTCATTCTACTACAGCTACATAAAATCTGATTCATAAATTTGTAGTAAATGCTTAATTAAAGTGTAAGCCAAATAATTTTTCGTCTATAGGATTTTGATATGTCAGCGATAGTTTAATAACCGGAAGTATTCGAACGTTTCTGTATTTTTATAGAAATGCTCCTTTCGTGACGTCGCGTATACAGTATATCGAGTTCGATTCAATATTTAAAAGGCATTTTATAAAGATTTCTAGTTGTAAATTGATTAAGGATCTCGATTGGTGATGACGAACACAAAGAATTTCGTTAGAAATGTATTCTACATTAGCATTAAGCCAGTTTGTTGTATCAAAAATCAAATGATTTTGGTTTACAAAAAGCAAACTCTCCTGTTTGGAAGAGAGTCGAGTTCAATTTGTCAAAGAGGCAGTGGGTGGTTTGCCTACCCACAGGTGAGAAGTGTTGCTAACTATGTTAGAAACGAAGCTCTGGGATGCCATCCCGTAGATATGTAGTATCAACAGGTGGCCTCTCTTCTCTTACAGCTAATTCGTAAAATATGTTCGAACAAATTTTTCTGTAACAGCGGGAACAGAATTTTATAAAATAACTTAAATTTTATAGTCCAAAACATCGTATTATTTGCAAGACAAACGAAATTAATACATGTTATACGGGATTATATTATTGGCAAATTGCACGATTTAAAATATGCATTTTGACTTAATTACATTTAAATCATTCATTAATCTAGTTTCCTCTGTGGCTTTAGATATAAATAATTTAATTTTGAAGCACTACAACGATATAATTTATAAAAAAATTAATATACAGATCAATTTAATCTTGAGTATAAATTGAAAAACAAACCTAAATTTTTATATGATTTCAGATGAAGTAAATCTGTATTGGAGCGTCATGGAGCTAAATACACCAATTTATATAATTTTTCATTTATTTGCGTGTAAACAGATAAAACGGGAATTATATAAGAGACGAAAATGATATCATTTTAAATCAAAATCACTAAATTTACCTAATTTTTTCCCAGAAAGAGAGCTATAATCAAGTTCCCACGTCACAACCATCCAACAGCATTATGTCGCAATCCAGAGTGGAGATCATAAGTCAGACATAAATCTCGTATCACGATTAGGTGGATAAATTTTGATTAAAAAGCATCATCAATTTTCAATTATGACATCGCAGTGATATCGTCTGAATGCCACAACGTGATTATATCTGACATCACACTTGAACCAAAATAATTGATATTGCGTAAAATGAATTAAAGCAGGATTATTTCTGTTTTACATTATTTTCTTTAATCAGATAGTAAATTATTAATTCATTGTATTTCTCGTGTGACGTAATAGAATTATAAACAAATTCATTAATCAGTGTAAGAAATGGTCGGTAGTGACAAAATTATCCGAAGAGCCAATTTGTCTGTAGATTCACTTTTCTCGCTTTTGTCCTATATTTTCGGTATTAAATAAATTTAATTACCTTAATGCCTAAAGTAATTAGCGGCCTAATGCCTTCTACTCATAATTAACCATATGCAGAAGGAAACATTTCAAAACAGAATGAAAAATGCATTCTAATTTACAGCTTTTAGCCGTAACAATGCTTTCATTGAATCGAAAAATCTTTTATTCTTTTGTTATAAGGTAAATCTAAATCAATTGGAATTTCTAATTTTGTTTCTAAGTTTTAAACGTACCCTAAAATATTTCTATGTTGATGAAGAATATGATAAACAAGTGACAAAGTGGCTCGAGATTTAGTGAATTGAATTGAAATTATTTAAATTTTTAATCTTAATATTCCACTATAATTTATCTGAAATGAGCCAGAAAGGTCTTTATAGTCTACTTATAAGGACTTTCTGGCCTCCTATAGATAAAGTGGGGCCTACTAGATAAAGGGTACACTAGAGTACAAGAAGTTCTTTATGAAGGAAGTCTCGTATAAACGACTTTCTGGCACTTAGTAAATAGATAAAAATATAAATAATTAATAAACATGAGGAAATAATACTACAATTATTAACGAGGAAAAAGATCTGAAGTTCTGTAATTTGTATTGTTGTGACTGTAGACAATTTCGTCATCATTATCCATTCAAAATCACGTTGCTGTGGCGACTTTTTACTGCTGAGTTGATTGATAGCCTTAATTAAAATTTGACCTTATTCTTTCAAAACTATTATGGCATAATGTTTGTTAGATTTAATATATATGGATCTATTGTAGTACATCCATAAACTTAAATCTAGTCTATAATTTATGATTATTAATATAACGACTAACAAATTTTTATCTAGGGTCTAAGTAACAAATTAGTTACAAAGGCAAATAATAATTGGTGCTTTTTGGTCGTTCTTGCATACGAATTTACTCTAATTATAACCATTTTTTAACGATAATTTATTAATTTCTTGTGGTTTATTTTAGAAAATAACCAAACTTTACAAAGGGTCGAGACAAAACAGAAAATGGGAAGCGAAAATTAATTTAATTATAAATGAAATAAGGAAGGGATTACGTGTAGATGTTCTGCTCCAGATCTCTCGAGTATTTTAAATGATGATAATTATGATCAAAAATCGTGATTTGTGCATCAAATAAGAGATGCAGACGAGCGATGAGTGGATTTATCCAGCCATCCGCGAAATTAGGGATAATAAAAGCAATGCTTTATACCCTAAAAGGCATAACTTTTATTTATTGAGTTTGCAACTTGAACCCCAGGTCTATCTACTTTTTACATAATTCCATTGTTTTGAATAACTTGATTTGCATAATTATTTGTCCACTTTGTTTTGAATCGAATCGCCTCATTTACGAAGTTCCAATAGTCAACTTTATTTGATTTAATGTTTTAATTGTTCTTTGTTCGTTTATAATTATTCTTAACGACATTAAGTTCTTCTTTACTCCTTCATGGAAATAAGCTAAGCTAATAGATATCAATTTTTCTTAGGAGTCACAATAATTAATTAAAATTTTTCCTTAAGATTTGTTTCCTACTTAAGTCTAGTCACACAGTAAATTTATTTTTAATTATAATAACAAGGCCTAGATAATTTTTCACACACAAATCAAGCAGCTAAGAGCCTATCCACTAACTCTCTATTAAACTTCATTCTGATTTTCTTTTTAAGCAGGTGCTTCGTTTAAATCTTAAATGATGCTTTTAACATTTATAGATTTGATTTTTAATATATTTTTCCTAAATTAATCCGTACCGAAACCAATTTGAAGAACATAATAAAGTTTAAATATCTATAAATCTTTATGGAAAGACTAATAATAAACTAACTGTAGTGAATAATGATAGGATATTCTTTGATAAATGAGCAAAATGTGATTTTAGACTACTTTAATTATTTAAAATTTTATCGATAATCTTGGTTATTATCGTAACCTTCCGTTACATCGGATCAAATCTAGCACATAAGCGATTCCATAATTATTTTAAATTTTAAGTTTTGTTGAAGATTTTATTAAATTTTAACATAGGAACTTCATAATTTAAGCAGAAATTGTAAACGAACTTATTTATTCCACAACAAAAGCCTTTTTATTATGAGGGATCGTTTGAATTTTTACGAAACATTCTTTAAAGTTAATATACTGGTAACATACTTTAATCGGAACACGCCATTCAAATCATTAAAACTTGATAAATAAATAAAGTCTATCCGTATATTAATAATAACTTGAAAGATGCATTTTATAACTATTTATAAAATTAATTTATATCCGAAGTATTTAGGCTAATTCGATATTGTTTTTCCCTTCAAATATTAGCATAATAGTTCCATAAAAGAAACTTTAATTCGCAATAATTCTTACATAAAAAAGTAATTAAGTTTATCATCAAATTATTATTATTATAGAAAAGGACAACACGTTCAGATCAGAAGATTTAATAAATTAAATATTATTATCATTGAGAATAAAAAACAAAGGATAGGCAAAGAACAAAAATCGATTTTGGCTTTCTGTTAAAAGATAATAGGGCTAAACTTTATACGATTTCTTGTAAGAAATTCTATCAGTATTGACGTCATACTTAAAAAGTTATTTTTATCTATTTTTAGAGAAACTGGTAGAAAGAACCACGAGTCCCGGTCAGTTGCTAGAGGCTGTGGCTAACTCGAAATGCATTCTACAGACGGAGAAAAGCGATCGTAGTTCACCTTCAGATGATGAGTCACCCAAACCGTCAGACATTTCGACGACGGGTGCCTGTTCCGATGGCGAACAGGGCACAGATTCCAAATCCGACCACGGAAAGGACACTCCCGACAATCCGAAAATGGTCGGAAAGTGCAACTGCGAGCAACTAATGAGAATCGACGCGCAATTGGAAACTAAAGACCTGTGGGAGAAATTCCACGAATTGGGTACAGAAATGATCATCACTAAAACGGGAAGGTACTATCATTTATAATTAATCTAATTTTAAAATAATCGTATAATTAACACATTTAATATTTATAGAATCGCTCTCGACTTACCAAAAAAATCAGTAAATTTAATTAAAAAAAAAAAGACTTCATTGCGAGTAAAATCAATATATAAATCCTTCATTTTTAACAATTAATGACGCTAAATTGAGAATTTCGTATTTGGCAATTTAACATTTAGGAAAATATAAGGAAACTTTTATTAAAATTTTAAAAATTTTATTAATATCAAGTAATATTTTGATGAAACAACGCATATTTATGTTATATAAGTTAGTCAAGTATTCGCTCGCACACGATGGTGGTTCCTTACATTTATCAGTGCTAATTTTTTTTTAAACCAAATATCCGATAAATCGATGATAATTCGTAGATATTATTCTCGTAACATGCGTAAACATTACTACAAATCGAAGCAAATCTCCATAGCGACATCAGGCACTTCCACTATAACAAAGGGACCATTAGTATGAATGGGCCTGTAACCAACGACAATCATCCAGTTCGTTACGGATTTGACGAGATGTTGACAGTGCCGATCTACGCCCCCTCGTGGAAAAGGACAGAACTATTCGTTACTATAAGTCTATAACCCTCTAAATTTATAATTAGATAAGAGAATATACGAAGGACTAAATAAGAAATCCGCCATTTAAATATCTTCTAAACACCGAAACTATTTTAAACATTAACTTGAACTTTCGAAGTAATTCTTACAATTTATTTATATTTATTTAAATATAAAATAAATAAAACAATGCTTTAATATATTATCATCGCTATATTATCCTATTGAATCACGTAACTAAATCCTTCTGGATAGAAAATTTTAAAATAAAAATTCATAAACAATACAAGTAATTAAGCAAATTATTAATTTATGCATAAAGATTTAAAAAAAATAAATAAATAAATAATAAATGTCGATGTGCTGGAAGTAACGTGACAATTTCAAAAATTTCACTAGTCAAAATATAACATACATTAAAAATTTTAGGTTGTTAACGATAGTAACTTTCAACAAATGGCTTCTTCCCACAAATATACTCGACATGTCCGACTGTATTGATTAATGTGGTTGAAACCTAAAGAGTCGCGTGCGATTTGTCACGAGATCATCACGTGTGTGAACGTGATCAAGGTTTCTTTCTCTGATCAACCATCACAGATCATTGAACTTGTTACGAGATTGACTCGACAAATGCAATCAATGTCGCTCTTTTTATCTCGTTTAACTTTAGGATAAAGACAATCTAAAGCCTCGTTTTATAAATTTACCATTCGGAGAATTGACCCTTTGTTTTATTATTTATATATATATATATTTTCCTGGTTTTTTTCGTGTATTTTTTTTTACTCGAATGCATTCTATAATCAACAAATCCTAAATAGAAAATGTCATTATAATAAAGAAATTATTGAAAATTTTGAAAGAAAAATGGATATGTTTGATCTAAAAGATAATTTTTAAGACTAAATATTCAATTTAAATATATTATATAAATTGTAAAATTATAATAAAAACTGATAATTTAAAAACTATTTATAAATAACAGATTTAATTTTGAATTAATTATATATGAATTATACGCAGTTTAGGCTACTTAGTTTTTCGGTTTTGCAATATTTATATAGAATTATTTATATAAAATTAGCTTAGAATTTATTTTTAATACTTAATTTTTATCATTTATAAATAAATATAGGCTTATACTTTTTAAAATTCTTTAAATAAATATTATTATTTAAACGAATTTACAGTACAGTAATTAGAAGTTTATTATTTTAATTGGTGCCAAAAAATTAGTTTTATTATCGTTAAAATTATTATAGGCTAAATCGACATATTAATTTAAGTTTATGTATTATATAAACCTTCAGTTAGCATACTTTTTAAATTAAGTTTCATTAGAATTATTTAAAATTAGCTTAATTATACAGAATTTAAAAAGTTGTTATAACTTTAAATCTTTTATACTAATTAATTTGATTTCCTTGAGTTTATTTAAAAATTAAAATTTTATAGTAAAGTTATTCGATTTTGATGTTTAATTTTAAAGATTTGAAAGTTAAATTTTAGTTTTTAAAAGCTGAGAGGCGAATAAAACATAAAACTAGCATAAAGTAGACGTAGATGTATACAATACAGTACTGTACAGTACAATACATGGGTGCTTAACAATAAATAAAGCTGTGTACGAGTAAAGAAAGCAAACATTTAATTAATCAATTATTTGTAGGGTATAAATTTTATTAATATCAGCTTATAGAATTAAGATAAAACTTTCTTCAATTTATTAAAAGAATTCACATGTTATAGAGAGAAATTAATAATATTTAAAAAAATAAACCTGCAACTTTTATTTATAAATTAAATAATTCTTTAACTAATTAACCATGTCTCCTAAAAATGATTTAATTTACTAGCATATAATCAATTAATTAATATATATTTTTTGTAAATAATGAAATTTAAAATCTGATTTTTGCTAATTTAATCTTCTAACAACATAATACAACACTTATAAAAACTAAATTATGAAATTCTAAAGCCGTTTTACTGTAGAAACCGTAGCATACTCAAGACCTTTTAGGGGGAAAGATTGAGATCGTAAAGGGTCAGAGGAGAGGTTAGGAAAACTACGTCTTAGATAGAGGTCATAGCTACATTTCTACCCTTATTTCAGTGATATATGTGAACATTTCATGTCCACAACTGATTTACTCGCTGCCAGAACAACTTCTTTAATGAACTTTCAGATAAAAGCAATATTCGTGACGATATCTTGCTTCCTTGTTAACACCTGACTCGTCACGATAGTAACAATCCGTGCGTGATTTTAAACAATTAATGGACTCTCTCACGAATGTATTTTTATAGAAAGAATTTCAATTAAATATTCTCAGCTGAACCAATAGATTATAAATATTAAATTATAAGCTACTGTATGAGCCCAAGTTAAATTCGAAATCGTTAACAGATATAATTTAATTAATATTTTTAAAAATAAGTTTTAGAATTCGATAAAACAGAATGCCCATAGAAAGAGAGGAAAGCCTATCTGTTCTTAAATACATGCCGATATTGGCTTTTTATTCGAAGTGAAAGCTTACAAAGGGAATGATTTAGTTTCCATGATTCTTCATTGTTCTTAATCCCAAATTTGTTTCGAGGTCCTGGGAAAGCTAAGTTAGTATCTTGGAAAAATTATAAGGGAAATAAATAGCTATAAACAATCCGGACCCTACTGTGTAGCCATTTCTCTGCAGGATAACTCTATTGATATTCAGACAGAGTATCTGTTTATATTTGGTGGGCCCCTCTTGGTAGGGCATCGTGCTTGCGTCTGAATTATGCATTTACTTTCTATATATACATAATATAAGACTAATAAATAGTACGTGTCGTGGATGCTGATACATACACATTTTCTTTTTCCAGAATAAAATCTTTTTATTTCGCTAATTAATATAAATTGCATATCTTTGAATATACCAATTTAAGCAATTTATACGCTTAAGACAATAAAATTCATAAGTTTTATTGTTTTATTACCTTGTTTAACAAGCTTATAAAACAGTAAAAATACTTAAAAAATAAATGGGGTACATTATATTTTTAAATAAAAAAATCCCATCGAAATTATCTTAAATTAGTGTAAGATGTTGAAAATTATAAAACACAACACATCAAATATATAATTGAGGCTTTCAATTATGTAAAATAAATCCATTAATTTGAACTTTTAGGATTAAAAAATTAAGATCCAATTATCTAAAGTTACAATGCTATTAACAATTATAAATTAATTTTTAAGTAGTTAATTTGACTTAGATTTTAAATTTTTACATTTGATACAATAAATCGAAAAGTCGAGGATCCTATATAAGAATTTTTAACCTTAAACATTAATAAAAAGATATTATAAAGTAAAAGTCATTGCATCAGATAATCATTGCAAATGTTTGTTTAAGTGATTGATATAGGAAAAAAAAAATAACAATAAAAATATAGCAGCAGGACCACGATGTGATTAAGGCCATTTAGTGTATTTTGTTCTGATTCTAAGAATAAAAGAACAGACAATTGTTTTCAAAGAATGATTTTTTCTCTTAACAACATCTTCTGGAACCAATTAGAAAGAATCTATGTGAAGTTCGAAAAAGATTTTCTTAGAGTTGATAAAAAGAAAAAAATAAATAAATAAAAAGAAATTCGGTGAAGTGTTGCCTAATGACTACCTGAGGTGTTAATAGACTAACGAGCTGAGAAATAATATCGCTGCCTATGTCGTAATTTATCCGAATTCCTTTCGTGAAATCTGCTTTAGATTACATTTAAAATATTTCTTTATCGATTATTCGTGTTTATTAATTAATTAAGTTAATTACTAATCGTTTTAATAATAATTTTATACGAAAATTCGCGTCAATTTTTAGACTCCAACGAAAGGATTTTTGAAGAAATGTCTTTTATTGCCTGTGTTCTCTTCACTTAGAATGTTAAGTGAATAAAATATTAGTCCATTTGTTATGGAATTTTTAAGAAAGTAACAAGTTTTCTATTCACAAAGATAGACACAAGCAACTTACTTTTCTCAAAAGCGAATCTGTTAAATTCTCTTGTAATTTTGCTCCATTCCACATAAAATAATTCAAAGTAACATAAAATATTTTAAAAATCTTTTTAATTTCTCGAAATTGTTTAAAATTTTTGAAATATTTCCTAACAATGATGTTCTGTTTTATTGCTAAATCACAAGGCAGTTAGAAGAAATTCTTAAATGGAAAACACAATAATCCCTATTAACTTCCATAAATATTACCAGAAAGTATGTACTGTACATAGGCCTACATTAATTTACATTTGAAAAATTAATTTAAAATATTTCCTTCTCAGGCTTTAATTTAAAATATTTCCTTCTCAGGTTTTAAGAAAATAAAATTTTAAGAACTTATTAGTTATAG